ATGTTACAAAGATTAAATTATTTAATATGTGTAATGCATTTGGGACAATTTGCAGGCTTAGTAAACAGTCTTGCCTATCCAAAAATCATTAATGGATAGTTACTCTTAAATCTTTTTTCCTATGCAGATCCCACTTTTTCATACTTACTATTTTTCCCATCCAACACAAAGACAAGTTCTTAGAGGGAAAAAGTCTGCTTAGGAAGAGGGACAGTGTGCTCCATTATGCACTTCACACTTTCATTTTAAGGTTCATGATTTTAGGGAGAATCCTGTGATCTTGGAAAGGGGGAGGGAATTGTCTTTATACCTCAAGGCCTACCACAGAACGTGGATCATATAGTTTCTGGGATGAAGGAATGAGGAACAAAAAACAGAACACAGGGCTAGCAGCTCAGCAAGTTTATAAAGAAGACAGACAAGAGTGGTGTCAAGAGGGTTGGCTCATTATGGTTTTCTTTTCCCTTCTCAGTGGGCCGATCTTTTTACACAATTCTTACCTCCCACTAGATTGCCAGTCCCATTGGTCAGTAAAATTTTGTTGAATAAATGTTGGTGATGAAGTATCCTGGGACTTGGTCCTATAAGGGAAGCTGGGGCTATTGGCAGTAGAGATCCTCATAGGAGAGCAAGAATATTTTGAGGACACAGATGACTTGTCCGCACTGATAAGATAATTAAACATTTACTTCATGTAAGACTGGGATAACTGTGCATTCGTAAACTTCTTTCTGGAAGATACGTGCCTACTTTCTTTTCTTTCTTTCCTTTTTTTTTTTTTTTTTGAGACAGAGCTTCAAGCTGTCACCCTGGGTAGCGTGCCGTGGCTTCACAGCTCACAGCAACCTCCAACTCCTGGGCTCAAGCGAGTCTCCTGCCTCTGCCTCCCTAGTAGCTGGGACCACAGGCGCCCGCCACAACGCCCGGCTATTTTTTGGTTGCAGCCGTCATTGTTGTTTGGCGGGTCTAGGCTGGATTCGAACCCGCCAGCCTAGGTGTATGTGGCTGGCGCCTTAGCCGCTTGAGCCACAAGTGCAGAGCCGCATGCCTATTTTCTTAAAAAGAGCCCTTTTTAAAAAAAAGTATTATCAAAAACATGGACGCTGAAGGAAGTTCCTACCCCAGTACACGGGCAAATTATAACACGCTATCGTTAAATTCCATCGTCAACAAATTTTCCATTTAAAAACAGCTGGATTACAATCTAAATCAAATACAAACTGCAGCTAAAACCTAGGCGGGGGTGGGAGGAAGAGAAAGGGGCTGGAAAGGGGAGGGGCCAGAACACTGTAGCTCTGGAGCCAAGTGCAAATCACGCTTCTCACTGGACTCAGCCCCAAGGAAGCGACGCCATTAGCGCCGTTCCACTGCGCAGGCGCGATCTCTCAGTTCGCATGCGCACTTACGCCGGCGCGGCCTGAGCAACTTTCTTTTTACAGGCCTGTTGCTGCGGTCTCTTGTGTCTCCTCCTACCTTCTCCATTTTCCTAGTCCCTGCAGGTAGGCTCCCAGGGGTCAGCTGTCTTTCCACTAAACTCCCAAAGGTCCTTAAGCTCTCGGCTACTTACCTCAACGGCTTTGGCACTTTCCTTTACAGACCCGCCCCCAAGGCCAGCAGGAGCGTTCGCGCTTACGACGACAAGAACGGCGACGTGCTCGCGGCCGCACAGAGGGGCCGCGCGACGGGGGTGGCGTGCGCGCTCTCGTGCTGTTGTGGGCGTGGTCGGGGCAGATTGGGGCTAGAAGGCCCCCCCGATAGAAGACGGTAGCTGAGTCCTTCTTACCTCGCTTTTGCGTTCTGGGTTTTTTCTCTCCATTATGATTCAGGGCTTCAGTTTCCCTGACGATATTGTAGGAGGGCACTACTTTCCTCTTTCTTTGCAAAGCACTGCGAGGCAGGGTTAAATTGGTTATTCTCCTTGCTTCTGAGCAGTCCGTAGCCCAGGCCAGCTAGGGAAGGTAGATGCTACCGTTTCTACCAGAGCTCATGGTTGGAGGACCGAATCTTAACAATAAAGTCTGTTTTTGTGGAGAACTTTGTTTTTCTTTGAGAAGTTTAGGGGAATAGGCACTATGGTATGATTAGCAATAGTCTACTAATGTCATTAGACTGTTGCTAATTATGTCCCCCTTTTCCTGTCGATTTACCTCTATGTTGTTGTTTCTCACAACACAAAACCTCTTCTTTGTCCTGTAAGCAAACTATCAAAGTGACTTATTTGCTGAGGATTGGACTGAGCATTAGTGTATTTAGTAAAGATCAATGTGGGGATCAATCAAGTTCTTGGGGACTCTTTAATAATATTCTCTTCAAGACTATCCAAATTATAGGTGGTAGGAACACTGATCTTAACCGCAAATATGAGGAACCTTTGTTTCTTAAGTTATTGATTTTATTAAGTGGCAAGTGGATGTGTGGCTTGTCAGCGACTGAGGTACGGTCTTTTGGGGAATGGTCTATAGAAAATTGGGCTTCTCCCCTCAGCAGTATATTGTTCTGAGAACGACATTGGTTGTCATGTTTTAACTGCTTTGACAGGCTACTGGACCTGATTGGTATATATTTCTAGTACCTCTAAAAGTAGTTAGGGGCTTTTTTTTCCTGGGTGGGTAAGTGCATTAAATATCCTTCATTGTCTTAATTATCATTCTAGGTAGAATGAATGAGATACTTTGCAAATAGATAAACATTGAAGTTTCATTTTACCCCTTTTAGGTTAGAGTAATAAAGAGACCTTTTTCTGTCTTTCAAAGTTATGGACGGCTATGTGTGAGTGCCTTTTAACCACCTTTTGAATGGTGAGAATTAGTTCCAAAATAGCTTTGCTGTCTGAAGCAAGCCAGTGTGATGAAAAATGAAGCCATTGGCTTGGCGCCTCTGGCTCAAGCGGCTAAGGCGCCAGCCACATACACCTAAGGTGGTGGGTTCT